TCCCTGCTTGTGGCCTAGGAAAGCAGTTGAGGATGGCCCAAAGCCTTGGGACTCTGTACCCATGTGGTAGACCTGGAAGAAGTTCCTGGATCCTGGCTTTGGATCGGCATAGCACCAGCCTTTGTGGTCACTTGGGGAGTGAACCATCGGACAGAAGATCTTTCTGTCTCTCCACTCATTTGACTTTCCAATAAAAGTAAATAAATCTTTAAAAAAAGAAAGATGGGAACCCAGTCCCTTGCGCACTTGTACAGAACAGCTCTGCTCTCAACCTTCTCAACACAGCAAAAACACTGGGCAAGATTTTGAAAATAGGTGATTTTTTTTTTTTTTGAAAATAGGTGATATTTTTTTTTTTTAAAGATTTATTTTTATTATTTTTTATTGGAAAGGCGGATATACAGAGAGGAGATACAGAGAGGAAGATCTTCCATCCGATGATTCACTCCCCAAGTGAGCCGCAACGGGTCGATACTATGCCGATCCGAAGCCAGGAGCCTCTTCTGGGTCTCTCACGCGGGTGCAGGGTCCCAAAGCTTTGGGCCGTCCTCGACTGCTTTCCCAGGCCACAGGCAGGGAGCTGGAAGGGAAGCGGGGCTGCCGGGATTAGAACCGGCGCCCATATGGGATCCCGGGAGTGCAAGGCGAGGACTTAACCACTTGCGCCACCGCGCCGGGCCCAGGTGATATTTTTTTTTAAGATTTATTTTTATTATTTTTTTATTGGAAAGGCAGATATACAGAGAGGAGAGACAGAGAGGAAGATCTTCCATCCGATGATTCATTCCCTAAGTGAGCACAACGGCCAATGCTATGCTGATCTGGAGCCAGGAGCCTCTTCCAGGTCTCCCACGCGGGTGCAGGGTCCCAAAGCTTTGGGCCGTCCTCGACTGCTTTCCCGGCCCACAGGCAGGGAGCTGGAAGGGAAGCAGGGCTGCAGGTATTAGAACCGGCGCCCATATGGGATCCCGGGCGCGCAAGGCAAGGACCTTAACCACTTGCGTCACCGCGCCAGGCCCAATAGGTGATATTTTTGCATTAAATTTTATTTAAGGGCCTGGCCCAGTAGCCTAGTGGCTAAATTCCTTGCCTTGCCAGGAACCCATATGGACACCGGTTCATGTCCTAGCTGATCTACTTCCTTTCCAGATCCCTGCTTGTGGCCTGGGAAAGCAGTGCAGGACAGCCCAAAGCCTTGGGACCTTGCACCTGTATGGAAGACCCAGAGGAATCTCCTGGCTCCTGACTTTGGATCATTTCTGCTTCTGCCATTGTGGCCATTTGGGGAGTGAACCAGGGGATGGAAGATCTGTTTCTCCTTCTCTCTGTAAATCTGACTTCACAATAAAATCTTTTAAAAATTTCATTTAAAAAATCAAGGCATGTTTGTGCAACACACACACACACACACACACACACTCACACATACCTGATCCACTGCTTCATTCTCTAAATACCTGAAACTTATAACAGCTGGGGCTGGGCTGGCTCAGGGAGCCAGGAACTCAATCCAAATCTCTTACGTGGATGGCAGGAGCTCAACTGCTTGAACTGTCACTGCTGCCTCCTGGTCTGTATTAGGAAGCTGGGGATAGGAGCTGGAGCAAGGTTGGCAAACTCAGAGGATAGTAACTGCTAAGGTAAACACATGTCCCCTGATTTTCCAACTCTATGTAATTTGAAAGGCAGAGAAAGAGAGAGAGAGAGAGGGAAAGAAAACTCTATCTTTGGTTTAAGCTGCAAAGGCCTCCAATAGCCAGAGCTGGGCCAGGTTGAAGCCAAGACCCAGGGACGCATGCAGTGGCAGAGACGCATGTATTTGGGCCATTATCTGGTACCTGCTGAGGTAGGCATTAGCAAGAGCTGGACAGGAAGCAGAATATATGAGACTCTACATCAACCGCTCCAATATGGGCGTCCCAAGCAGCAACTTACCCGCTATGTCAAAAAGCCACCATCTAATATGGCATCTTTGCAATACTTCCTGTCTTAATTTCACCTGCCAGAATGGGTTAGAGTGTATCAAGGAGTCTTAAGTTTTGTTAGTGTCTCGTAAAGATGCTCTGAGAGATTTGCCTATCCAGGAGAACTTAAGACCAAAGCAGCTGTGGCAGGGAATGAAGTCTGTGAGAAGAGGTACTCACCTTTCTTTGCTTTCATTAAAAAAAAAAAAATTTTTTTTAAGGTTTATTTACTTTTTATTGGAAAAGCAGATTTACAGAGAGGAGGAGAGACAGAGAAAAAGGTCTGTCTACTGGTTCACCCCCCAAGTGACAACCACGGCCAGAGCTGAGGTGATCTGAATCTGAAGCCAGGAATTTCATCTGGGTCTCCCACATGGGTGCAGGGTCCCAAGGCATTGGGCCGTCCTGAACTGCTGTCTCAGGCCACAAGCAGGGAGCTGGATGGGAAGTGGAGCTGCAGGGATTAGTACTGATGCCCGTATGGGATCCAGGCACGCTCAAGGCGAGGACTTTTACCCACCCGGTTACTGCACCAGGCCCACGAGCTAGGTTTTACAGAACAGAAATAATCAGGGGTATTCAGACATAAAAAGCCACTGCCTGCAATGCCAGCATCTCTCAGGGCACTGGTTCATGTCCCAGCTGCTCCACTTCACATCCAGCTCTCTACTGAAAGCCTGGGGAAGTCAAAAGCTTTGGACTCCTGAACCCTTGTGGGAGACCTGGATGAAGCTCCTGGCTCTTGGTTTCCACTCAGCCCAGTGCTGTCCGTTGTGACCAATTTGAGAGTAAAACAGCAGGTGGACGATTCTCTTTCTCTGTTTCTCTCTTTCAAGCAAATGAATAATAAATCATATTTTTTTTAAAAAGGAAAACTGGACAGGATAATAAAACTTGATAGAATGCAATAAAAGTGCTGCAAATGTAAACTCCTGGTTTAAAAAATAATTTTAAAAGACATATACTTTTTATTTGAATTGCAGAGTTATAATACAGAAAGAGACAAAGATCTTCCATCTATCTGCTGGTTCACTTTCCAAATGACCACAATTGCTAGGGCTGGGTTGGTCCAAAGCTAGGAGCTTATTCCTGGGCTCCCATGTGGGTGCAGGTGCCCAAGTGCTTGTGTCATGCTTTGCTGCTTTCCCCGGCCATTAGCAGCAAGATGGATGGGAGATGCAGCAGTGCCTATACGGGATGCCAGTGCTAAAAGTGGAAGCTTAACCTACTATGTCACAGCACCAGCTCGCTAAGTTTCAGTTTTAAGAGAAATCTTTACATTTAGAGGTAGCAATCTTCTTCATTATTGTGGGCTTTGCATTTCTGTAAGTCAGAGTTGGTGTCCTGCATTTTGGATATGACTATTAAACATGTACGAGTCCTACAGGAGGGTAACCTGAGCTTTCCTGCACTGTACTTCAACGAACTTTCAGCAGCAGCACCACCTAGCGTCATGCACAGTTACTGCAGCCCAGTTTTATCAGCCCTGGTTCTCACACCTGACCACCCAGCGGGACAGAATTGTTCCAAGACGTCACACAGAAGAGACCTGCTAGAGGACTCTGTCGTAACTTGATCAATTAAAACATTTTCTTCTTTAATAATTGGCTCCTCCTTCTGCTTTTTAAAGATTTATCTAGTTGGGGGCCTGACACCATGGCTCTGTGGCTAAATCCTCACCTTTCATGCCTAGGATTCCTTATGGGCGCCGGTTCTAGTCCCTGCAACCCCGTTTCCCATCCAGCTCCCTGCTTGTGGCCTGGGAAAGCAGTCGAGGACAACCCAAAGCCTTGGGACCCTGCATCCACGTGGGGAGACCTGGAAGAAGTTCCTGGCTTCAGATCAGCTCAGGTCCTCCTGTTCCTGCAGCCACTTGGGGGAGTGAGTCCACGGATGAAAGTTCTTTCTCTTCATCCTGCATCTCCTTCTCTCTGTCAATCAGTCTTTCCAATAAAAATAGATCTTTTTAAAAAAGTTTGTTTCCTGGAAGGGCAGAGTTACAGAGAATGAGGGAAAGAGGAAGGGACACAGTGTGTCCATCCACTGGCATATTCCTCAAATAAACAGTGACTGGGGCTAGCGTGGGAGGAAACCCGGAGCCCAGAACACCCTCTGGGTCTCCCACACGGCTGGCAGGGGCCCAAGTACTTGGGCCATCCTCTGTTGTTTTCCCAGGCTCGTTAGCAGGGAGCCGGATCCCAAGGCAGTGGAGCTGGGGAAGGAGACGCTCGTGTGGGATGCTTGCAGCTAACAGCTTAGTCTAGTGCACCACACTGCTGGCAAGTTTCTGCTAAACATCAATGACAAATGAACAGACAGAAACAGCTTCTCAGGACTGTTAAGCTCTTAAGTCCGTGGATTTGTATGTTTTTGAATATTTCACATTACAGCAAAGTCTCTTTCCTCCTCACCCCCACAGTCAACAGGATGAAAAGCTCAGGAACAGAATCAAGTACATACAGACTTGAGGTAGGGGAGGAAAGTGTGTACGGCGCAGGCTGTCGGTGCGAGGGTAACCGAGCAATGCCTGGGACAAAAAGACGACCCCCGCTGGCCCTCAATTTTTCACATCTGCGAGGAAGCCACAAGAACCCCTCAAGTCCCTACCCAACTCAGTTCCTAAGGAATGAACACCTAAGACCGTCCCACTCCTTAGGTATTAGCTTGCTGTCGGGCTTCCTGATAACGTCCAACAATATGGCGTTCCTTCCTGACAGGTCCTGTTCATCAGCGGAAAACTGACACTTGTAGAGGTACAATCATCTCTGCATTCTGACCCCGCGGAGGCGTTTTAGTACTGAACACCCAGTCCCTCTGCGATGTGGTAAACGCGTACACATTAGGGTCATCCGGGGAATGGGGGCTGCTCACAAAGGATTTCGAGAGAAGGACGCCCAGCCCCGCCGCCCGCCCCAACGCGCGCTCCCGCCGGCGCGCAGCCTGGCCCGCGCCGACACTGCGCAGGCGCCGGGCGCTGAGCGCGGAAGCGGAAGCTCGGGCGCGTCGGCGGGTTTCCTCCCCCCACCCTCCTCCGCCATTAGCAGCCATGCGCGGCCAGGAGGAGCCAGGGCCTGCGCGCACAGCGACCGCGTGCGGGTGCGTGAAGCCGGCCCTAGAGACAGGTAACGTGTGAGAACCTAGTGGTGCCGCGCTGAGGGAAGGCCTAAGTCCAGGCCGCCGGCCTCTACTGAATGGGACGTGCGTCACTCCTGCTGGGGGGGCGAAGCCGAAGGTCACGTGCTTCAGCGACCACGTGACGAGTCGGGGCGAGCGGGTGATGTCATTGCTCCTGGTCGGGGCTGGGTGGAGGCGGGTTCGGGCGGTTGGCTGTGACTGCCACGTGCGGGCCTGAGTGGTGTTAGTGCTTCCTCTCACCGGGGAGTTTCATTGTGCACAGCTGGCGTCGTACCGGCCAAGAAGTGATGATAAATGCCCCCAAGAAGAGCCTGTCTTGCTCTAGGAAGTGAAGAGGCTGTAGTTTGCCTGGCAGGTGTTTTCATTTCACGAAATAAATGAAATACTGTGTATTCCTGCATATGAACGTGAGAAATTCATATTTTGAAAAGAAAAGGGTAAAGACCGAATTCAGGCGCCTCTGACTCACGGGGAAGGGGAAGGTCCGAGATACGAAAAAGGAGCCCCCAGAATTCGATTGTTTGTGCTCCAGTGCACGTGGCGTAGGTGGTGCAGAGCATTTCCCTGTAATCTTGTGTTTTATGACTTTATGTCGCATTTACTCTTTATCTGTTTTTTATTTTTTGTAAAGAATATTTGAAAGGTAGAGGTAGGGCTAGGCAAGCACCCAGATCCCCTATCCACTAATTCGCTGCCTAAGAGCCCGCAACAGCTGGAGCTGGGCCAGGCTGAAGCCCAGAAACGAGGACTCAGTTCAGATCTCCTGAGTGAGTCACAGGTACTGGTGGTTGCAGCGTCTCCTGCTGCATCCCGAGGTGTATTTGCAGGAAAGTGGAATTGGGAGCGGAGCTGATAGGAGGTGTCAGCATCCCGAGCAGCATCCTGATTGCTTTGCCAGACATGAACCCTTGACATTTTCTGTGTATCCAGTAATCACCTGTAAGCGAATGAAAGGAAGGGTGAGGGGCAGTTCCAGACTTAGAGTCTTAACTGCTGTGCTAATAGATTAAATAGAAAGCAGTGAGAAAATGAAGATCTAGAATGTGCATTTTCTTTTAGAAGTTAGTAAAGCTGTCATGAAGCATGAAAAAAAAATTCAAATGGAGACCTTGGATGTGAAACTTAGACTGATGGTGTCTGGCCAGTTTTTTTTTTTTTAAGACATTACTGGGGGTGTGTGTGTGTGTGTGTGTGTGTGTGTGTGTGACTGATTCGTGATTATTGCAAAAACTTCTTTCATAAGGATTTATTTATTAGAAAGGCAGAATTAGAGACAGAGAAATATCTTGCAACCTCTGTTTATTTTCCAAATGGCTATAATGGTCACAGCTGGGCCAGGCCCAGACCAGGATCCTGGAACGCCACCCAAGCCTCTCACTGGGTGAGAGGGGTGAAGCACTTTGGCCATCTTGCAGTGCTTTCACAAGTGCGTTAGAATGGAGCTGGTTTGGAAGCAGAGTAAGTGGGACTTGAATCAGCACACAGTTGGAATGTTAACATTACTGGGAAGGGCTTAACCCACTGTGCCACAGTGTTAGCCCCAAAATAATCACTTTTAGTAGTTGCATAACACCTTGTAGATTTTACAACTATGTAATAGAGAAAACATGTTTTCTTGCAGTTTTGACCTTTTGACCAATGACTTCTTATCTAATTTTCTTCTGTAGGGAAGCTTTTAACTGAGCCGATAGGCTACTTGGAATCGTGTTTCGTGGCCAAGAATGGCACTCCGAGGCAACCGTCCATTTGTAGTCATTCGCGTGCCTGCCTGAAGATCAGAAAGAGCGTCTTCAACAACCCTGAGCATTCCCTGATGGGTTTAGAACAATTTTCTCATGTTTGGTAAATGTCATTTGTTTGTTTCTTCAAGATTTATTTATTTTAATTGAAAATCAGTTACAGTAAGAGAGAGAAATTACACCTGCTGGTTCACTCCCCAGGTGGTTGCAATGGCCAGAGCTGGGCTATCCGAAGCCAGGAGCTAGGAACTTTCTCCAGATCCTCCATGTGGGTGCAGGGCCAAAGGACTTGGGCTTTCATCCAACTTTTTCCCAAGCCATTAGCAGAGAGCTGGATCGGAAGTGGAGCAGCTGGTTTTGAGCTGGCATCCATATGAGATGCTGACACTGCAGGTGGAGGATTAGGTTGTTATGCCACCCTGTCACCTCCTGTTTGTTTCTTTTAAAGATTTATTTTACTTATTTGAAAGATAATTACAGAGAGGGAGATCTTCCATTCACTGGTTCACTTTCCAAATGGTTGCAACTGCAAGAGTTGGGCTTATCTAAAGCTGGGAGCCAGGAACTTGTTCCCATGTGGGTGCAGGGGCTCAAGTCTGTTGAAGTGTCCTCCACTGCTGTCCCAGGCCCTTGGCAGGGAGCTGGGTTGGAAGTGGAGTAGTTGGGACTTGAACTGGCACCACCATGTGGGATGCTGACACTGGACGTCGTAGCTTAAGCTATTATGCCACAGCACCGGCCCTCTGGTAAAATGTTTTGATGTCGGAAGTGATCCTTGAAACAAGAATTAGCCCTTAAAAAGTACTGCAGGTGACAGCAACCTTGGAGTCAGCCACCCCAACCACCCTTGTCTGTGGTGTGGAGTTTCTACGCTGTGTTTGTGTGGTTGAGTGTCTATCTGATTTGGAAGCTTGGGGTCCATGGGTGAGGCATGACAAACCTTTTGCAGGGCTGGAGTGGGGCCCTCCTGGTCTCCGCCCTTGGATCATCATTTTATCCTGCAGACTGGAGGACAGCAAGTGCAGCTGGTGGGCCACCTATGGCCCAGTGCTCACTGTTATACACAGACCTGGCCCTCTGTCTTGTCTGTGGCTGCTGTCTAGCCACAGCAGCTCAGTGGAGCAATTGCCATGGTGACTGATTGGCCTGCAAATCCTGGAGTAGTTACTGTCTGACCCTTTACGAGAGAGATTTGCAGACTCTGCCCTAAACCCATAAGGAATTAAGAGGCAAAAGATCTGGTGCCAGTGCAGTGGCTCAACTAGCTAATCTTCCCCCTGCAAGTGCTAACATACCTATGGGTACTGGTTTAGGTCCCAGCTGCTCCACTTCTGATCTTGTTCTCTGCTTGTAGCCTGGGAAAGCAGTGAAGGATGGCTGAAGTCTTTAGGATCCTGGAGCTGCATGGGAAACATAGAAGCTCCTGGATCCTGGTTTCATATCCGTTGAACTTTGGCTGTTGTGACCATTTGGGGAGTAAATCAGTGGATGGAAGATCTTTCTGTCTCCTTTTTTCTGGTAAATCTTCCTTTCCAATAAAAAAAATGTATATATTTTACTTGAAAATCAGAATTACAGAATTAGAGGCTTAACGTGCTGTGCCATTGGCATTGGCACCGATTGACTTGTTGTGGAAAAAAAGAAGAGGATAGAGCAGCCCTCTCCTCTCCGCCTCTACCCCCAGATGTAGGAAGAAAAAAGGAGACTGGAAATAGTTGTTTAATCCACTTCCCAATTCCTCAACCCTCTCCATCCTAATCAGTGGTCCATAAAAGCATACATCCTTCTCAACTATGTAAATGTCTCCAAAAAATAAATAAATATATGTATTTTTTTTTAAAGCACAGAATTTTTTAAAAAAGATTTATTTATTTATTGGAAAGTCATATATACAGAGAGGAGAAGAGACAGAGAGGAAGATCTTCTGTCCGATGATTCACTCCCCAAGTGACCACAATGGCTGGTGCTGCGCCAATCCGAAGCCAGGATCCAGGAACTTCTTCTGGGTATCCCTCACGGGTACAGGGTCCCAAAGCTTTAGGCCGTCCTTGACTGCTTTCCCAGGCCACAAGCAGGGAGCTGGATGGGAAGTGGAGCTGCCGGGATTAGAACCGGCGCCCATATGGGATCCCAGGGCATTCAAGGCGAGGACTTTAGCTGCTAGGCCATGCCGCCGGGCCCTGAAGCACAGAATTTTTTAAAAAAATGGACTCAACAGCCAGGGCTGGGCCAGGCTGAAACCAGGATTCAGGAACTTCAGCTAGGTGCCCCACATGCATGCAGGGTCCCAAGTAGTTGAGCCATCTTTCTCTTTCCTGGTACTTAGCAGGGAACTGGACCAGTTGGGACTTGAACCGACACCCATATGGGATGCTGGCCCTGTAGGTGGCAGTTTAACATGCCACACCATGACACTGACCCTGCCCTTTTGTGTTCTAAAAGCCATTGTTGCAAAACACAAGCACACTGTGATTTAACCACACCTTTTTTAACAGAAAACTGATTTTTCTTCTACAATAATACCATGACAGATTCCTGTGGACATATATTCTTGGGTCCTTTTAATACAGTTCCTAAACTTTTTAAATTTGTTTTCAAATGAAGAAAGGCAGAGACGGGTGGAGGGAGCTCTTCATTCACCAGTTCACGCCCCAAATGCCCACGAGAGCCAGGGCTGGTCCAGACTGAGGCCAGGAACGTGGAGCTCCATCCATGGACCCAAGTGCTGGAAGCATCATCTGCGTGCTCCAGAACACACATTAACAGGGAGCTACGTTGGAAGCAAAGGAGCTGGGACTGGAACCAGGCACTCTGAGATGGGATGCAAGAGTCCCGCACCAAATGCCTGCCTCTGCTTTCACATTTCTATGGATAGGTTATCAGAAGGGGATATATTGGACCCTAGGGTATGCATATGTATAGTTTTGGAGAGCTGCTACCGAAGTGCTCTCTAAAATTAGCCAGTTTAGGGTGGCATTGTGGCATGGTGTACTAAAGCATCTTCTGTCATACCAACATCTCATGTGGGCACTGGTTCAAGTGCTAGCTGCTTTACTTCCTGTCTAGCACCCTGCTAATTCTCACATGGCTGCCATCCATGTGGGAGACCAGATGGAGTCTCTGGCTCTTAGCTTTGGCCTTGGTCGAGCCTTGGCCACTATAGCCATTTGGGGAGTGAACCAACAATGAAAGATCTCTCCTTCTGTCTTACTTCCACACTCTTTAACTGCCTTCCAGATAAAATGAATAAATATTTTAGAAAATATAAAACTGATCAACTAATACCTTACCTACAAATGGCCTTTCCCTACCCCCTCCCCAACACAATTGTTAGCCAGTTTTTACATTTATGTTCAAGGAGAAAATAGCATTTTGTTTTCTAACTGAATTTCTTAGTTCTGAGTGAGGCTGCTCATCTTTTCGTGTGGATCTTAGTCTCTGTGGCTCCTTTGCGAATTGTCTTTCCGTGTTTACTGGTTAGTGTGCCGTGATGGGTTGTCCTTACGTAATGACTTCTAGGAGCTGTATACATAGTACTCGTACCAACCCACCATCACATACGGAGTATATCTCTTAGGCTGATATTTTGTGGTACAAAAGTGGAGTGATTTCTTGAGTTTAAGTCTGTTACTGTTTTTTAAGATTTTGTTCATTTGAAAGACAGAGTTAGAGGAGAGGGACCATACACTACTTCACTCCCCAAATGGCTGTGACAGCCAGGGCTGGGCTAGTCTAAAGGCAGGAGTTAGAAGCTTCCTCTGGGTCTCCCACATGGGTACAAGGACTCAGGGACTTGGGTCATCCCCCACTGCTTTCCCTGGCGCATTAGGAGGGAACTGGGTCTGAAGTGGAGAAGCTGGAACTCAAATTAATGCCCTTAGGGATGCCACATGGCAGGCAGCTTGTGTGTTGTACCACAGTGCTGCCCTTCCCCCCACTTTCTTTTTTTTAAGAAAGAGTTTTTTGTTTGCTTGCTTGTTTATTTGAAAGTTAGAAAATCTGTTACTATTTCTGTTTATGGGTCCTTGGTTTTGTATCTTGTCTGGGAAGTCCTGGTCAAGGTTATTTTACATTTCAGACTATTCATTTCCTTGGCTCTTAATATGGGGGATTAATTATACATCTTGGGATCATTAAGAAAATTCCATGAAATGAGTTTGGAGCTGTCTAGCATGCTGCTCACCAAAAAGCAGGCCCTCAGTCAGGCGCTTGACATGCACCTGTTGAGTCACTGCCATGTGGCAGGCATTGCCTTTGGAGTAGAGCAGGCGTGGATTCTGTCTGCCTTCATGGAGGAGGAACAGTTGTCATTGACAACCATTCTCTGTGTTCACTTATGGGAGAGTTACCTTTTTCTTTTCCAAATCCGCGTAATTAGAAATAACTCGTGGGCCCAGCGCAATAGCATAGCAGCTAAAGTCCTCACCTTGAACACCCCAGGATCCCATATGGGCACCGGTTCTAATCCCGGCAGCCCCACTTCTCATCCAGCTCTCTGCTTGTGGCCTGGGAATGCAGTTGAGGACGGCCCAAATCTTTGGGACCCTGCACCCTTGTGGGAGACCCGGAAGAAGCTCATGGCTTCGGATTGGCGCAGTGCCAGCTGTTGCAGTCACTTGGAGAGTGGGTCATCGGACGGAAGATCTTCCATCTGTCTCTTCTCCTCTCTGTATATCTGACTTTCCAATAAAAGTAAAATCTTAAAAAAAAAAAGAAGAGAAAGAACTCATGCTGTTCTATCTTGGTGGTTTTGTTTGTTTTTCAATAGGATTTTGTTTGTTTTTCACAAAAATGGTCATCTGAGCTGTAAGGCAAAGGTGCAGCCCCCGAGACTGAATGGGGCGAAGACTGGGGTCTTCTCCACCAGAAGCCCGCACCGTCCCAACGCCATCGGTCTGACCCTGGCCAAGCTGGACAAGGTGGAAGGTAATGCTTTTCCTTTATTTTTTTTTTTAATTCTCTCTCAAAAGCTATAGAAAATCAATGTAGCATTCACTGTGGACTGCTGTTTCACCAAGTGCCTACGCACCGGGGCTGGTAACCCCTGGGATGCTGGGGACAGTGGAATGACCGAGGGAACATTAGCCTCCAAAGCACCTTGAGCTCAGCCCTGGAGCATGTCAGAGTCCCGTGTGCTCATGGCATGTGTCAAAGCTATTGCTGTTTAAAAATAACTTGCAAATCACCTAATCATTAAGCTGGAAACTGAATCATCTCTGGCTTGGAATGCAGTCAATACAAAATGCTGAAGAGAGAGTCAGAGCCTGGAAAGACGGTGTCCGGTGTCCGTGGTCAGCAAGTGGAGCAGCAGGGGTCGTTTCTGAGAGTGCTCTGCAGGTCCCGGGGCCCTCAATAGATGCACATGGTTATCTCGCTATTCTTCCTCAGGACTTGAAACAGATTGTACTCAGCTGAGTAGGTTTTAGGTGGGATTTCTAGGAAAAGTTATAAGCTGTTCCACCTTGAGTTTGATTGATTTGTGATGACTTCACAGTTTGGATTACACTTCTGGAGGTGTTCATGACCACACAGCCTACACCTGTGTTCTAGTATTAACTGTGTACCTTGCGTTCTCTGTGCTGGAAATAGGAGTGTAATCAAAGCAGATAATAATCTGTGTCCTGGGGCTAGTGTCTGGCCTAAAGGTTAAAATGCCAGCATCCCACATGGAGGTGCTTGGGGTTGTTTGGGGTTCTTGCGATTTCAGCTTCCTGCCAGTGCAGAACCTGGGAGGCAGTAGAGATGGCTTCTGTGACTAGATTCTTGTCCCTCTTTTTTAAAAAAGATTCATTTATTTATTTTTAAGATTTTTATTTATTGGAAAGTCACATATACAGAGAGGAGGAGAGACAAAGAGGAAGATCTTCCATCCGATGATTCACTCCCCAAGTGACCACAATGGCCGGTGCTGTGCCGATCCAAAGCCACGATCCAGGAACTTCTTCCGGGTTTCCCACGCGGGTGCAGGATCCCAAGGCTTTGGGCCATTCTCAACTGCTTTCCCAGGCCACAAGCAGGGAGCTGGATGGGAAGCAGGGATGCTGGGATAGGACCGGCACCCATATGGGATCCTGGCATTCAAAGCAAGGGCTTTAGACACTAGGACATGCTGCCAGGCCCTAGATTCTTGTCCCTCTTGAGGAAGACCTGGATTGAGTGTTTGGCAGTCATCTTCAGCTCCTCCTATCTAGAGCTTTTGGGAGGTTTGGGAAGTGAAGCAGCAAATGAAAGTTCTTTCCAATCTGTCTCTCCTCTTTACTCTGCCTCTCATGTAAACTAATTAAACAGAGAAATCGCATCCTAAAGGCTTGAATCCATCTGGAAGAGGTCAAAGGACAAGCCTGACAGCACTGGAGACAAGGTTATTCCGTCAGCTTGCCAGCAAGGACAGGTGTCAGCGCTCTGCTGTGCAGTGGGTCAAGTACATTCCTGTGCCTCATCCCACAGTGGCCTGGGATAGTTGCCGTTGTCCCCTTCTGGGTGAGGCAGCTGAGCTGGGACTCTGCCAGCTTCCAGCCAGGGGTATCTTCCACTCCAGGTCCCATGAAATCTTTGTGGATGTGTTCCTGCTGTGGTGTTTTTGTCTTTTGGCGTGGCTTTGGAAACTGACAGGCCTCCAGTGTGCAACTTCACTTCTAGATCTTTTTTCTTTTCTTTTTTAATATTTATTTTTATTTGAAAGGCAGACTTACAGAGAGAAGGAGATACAGAGAAAAAAAATCTGTCTGCTGATTCACTCCCCAAGTGGCTTCAATGGCTGAAACCGAGCCAATCCAAAGCAAGGAACCAGGAGCTTCTTCCAGTCTCCCACATGAGTGCAAGGTCCCAAGGCCTTGGGCTGTTCTCTGTTGACTTCCCAGTCCACAAGCAGGGAACTGAAAGGGAAGTAGTGCATCTGGGACATGAACCAGCGCCGATATTGGATCCTGGCACACATGCAAGGCAAGGATTTAGTCACTGAGCCATCACACTGAGCCCGATTAGGTTTTTCTGACTTACAAACTCACCTGATCTGACCGAGCTCCTTGCCGCATCCTAGGAGCAGAGCCCAGCAGCAGTTGCTGGAGTTTCGTAGGATTGCAGTGTTTCCAGGGCTGCCCAGACAGTGAGTTGTTCGGCCTTGATTGGAAGCCAGCTCTCCATGCCTGAAGCTGTTCCTGACAGTCTCCCTTAAGGCCTCCTCGGCATCTGGTCCCAAGTCTTGTGTGGGAAGGTCACTGTTTTCTTCTTCAAGTAGGAGCAGCCTCTCTAGTCCTATTTGCAATTCTAAGGGAAGAGTTTGATTCAGCAGGCTTGTAACCCACTTATTAGCTCACATCAGCTGGTTTTCCAGCTGTTGTCTTCCATGGTGTACACTCTACTGTGGTATTTAGGACCCAGAGGAGGTGAAGGGGATGGGGGCTGCTGTTTATGATGCCAGCATCCCACATGGGCATTTGTCCTATCCTGGTTGCTCTACCAGTAAGGGAAGATGGCTCAAGGGTTTGGGCCCCTGCTGTCCATGTGGGAAACTCGGTTCCTAACCCCTGGCTTCTGCCTGACCCCATCCTATCTGTTGCAGCCATTTGGGGCGTGAACCCAGCAGATGGAAGTTTTGTGTGTGTGTTTGTCCCTCTCGCCACCTGCTCTCCCCGTAACTCTTTCAAATAAAAGAAATGTTAAAACAAGATAGGTGGGGCCCAGTGGCATGACCCGGTGGCTAAAGTCCTCGCCTTGAATGCACCGGGATCCCATATGGGCGCCAGTTCTAATCCTGGCAGCTACACTTCCCATCCAGCTCCCTGCTTGTGGCCTGGGAAAGCAGTTGAGGACGGCCCAAAGCTTTGGGACCCTGCACCCATGTGGGAGACCCGGAAGAAGTTCCTGGTTCCTGGCTTTGGATCGACACAGCACCGGCCATTGTGGTCACTTGGGGAGTGAATCATCGGATGGAAGATCTTCCTCTCTGTCTCTCCTCCTCTCTGTATATCTGACTTTGTAATAAAAATAAATAAATCTTTAACGCAAAAAAAAAAAAAAAGATAGGTGAAGGTGGAGAAAACATCAAAAAGGGAATAACTGCTTTATTGGGTCTTTGGCCACAGAGTAGGATAGCAATCAATTACAAATAATTTCTTTAGAGGCAGAGAAAGAGGTGACGCCGTTCCTGCCCATCCCAGAGGATCACAGGCAGCACTGTGTAACCCAAGACAAGGCTAAGGCACAGCCCAGGAATCCTGCCTTGAGTGTGTGCCCTGTGGATTCTGGTTGCCATTGTGTTTGTCCTCCAGCTGTTGTTCGGCATAGTCCATCTTTTTTAGAAAGTGAAAAATGATCGTTTCTGAGGTTCCAGGCCATCCACAGCAGTTGTGTTTTAGAAACTGGGTTCTTTTGGGCAACCCTGTGTTTCCTTAACTGAAGAAAGGGTTGGATGTGCTTACTGCCTTGCAGCTTGTCAGTGCTTCCTTGACCGATTTCCCAGGGCTGTGGTTGGCAGACTGAGACAACAAACAACCCCTCCTGAAGATTTGGTGACCATCACTTCCATGCTGCTTGAGTGTTGAGTCTTGATGGGTGGACTGTCTCTCGTGCTCTGTAGCCTGTTCCCAAACGCTTAGCCATTTAAACTTAGGTAGAATGTGCTGAGAGTGTTTGGGTGTTTCCTGGCCTGGGGCTTCTCGGCTGCAGTGCAGTCATCTGTCCCAAGCTCCCTGGGGCTGCTTGGCAGAGATTACGTGTGGTCACAGGACCGAGGGCTCCAGCTTGTGGCCAGTTGCTGGCTGGTGGCCACCTCAAACCGCCACAAGCTGCTTGCAGTTCCTGGACACATAGCCTGTCCCAATGTGCCCAATTTTCTTCATCATGCTTGCTCAGAACACCTCTCAAGTGAGTCTGCCAGCAAGCAGGGGTCCCCTGGAGCTAGATGTGGCCACTGGAGAGGTAGCACAACCCTCCGGCCATGTTTTGATGTTTAGGAGCAGGTCACATTCAAGAGGATGGGTCAGACAAGGGCACAGACACGAGCTGCATGGTGTCATGGCGCTGCCTCAGAGTCTGTTCACTTCTGTGGAGCCCCTCGCTGGTCTCACGGAGGTGTTCCGTGCCTGGGAGAGCTGGAGTGCCAGCCCTGCCCCCTACTCAAAGCCTGCTGCTCGTGCCAAGGACAGAGAGCTCAGGCTAACTGTGCCGTGCCACATGTGGCACAGGAAGGAAGACACAGGCTTTGCAGGGAGGTGGCAGTCAGCGAGAGCTGGGGGGAGCAAATGAGAGAGTGACAGGTCAGGGAGGGGTTGCTGGGTGTGCATCCAGCTGGAAAGAGAAACATCAGATAATTCTGAGGCACAGGAAGCCAAGGAGGATAGAGGATGTTGAGGGCTATGCACTCACCCTTGTCAGCATTTGTAAGAGTTTTGTTTTTATGTTCACATTCCAGGTGGAGCTGTCTACCTTTCTGGAATTGACATGATACACGGCACGCCAGTACTCGACATAAAGCCCTATATAGCTGATTATGACTCACCACAGAGTTTGGTGGTGCCTGTAGGGGACTGTGAGTCACGGAATGACCAGCAGATGCCTGAGCCTCCATCCCAATGTGATGGTGAGACTGACTGCTGCGCCAGGGGACAGCCCCCAGGGTGTGAGGCCCCATGGCCCTGCCACACCCTAGAGGAGAGTCCCAGCCATCTTGGCCACAGTACTCCGGAACCACATCATCTGGAATCCAGTGGCCCAGCAAGACTCCTGCAGCCCAGGCCTGGACACAGGAACCCCACAGGAGGCTCAGGTTTGGAAGGACGAGATGGCCAATGTGTGAGCGGTGATCGAGGTGTGAGCACAGTGGAGGTGCTGAGTGGCCCACATGGTGGACTAAGCAAGAGCTTTGCAGAGGATGGGACAGCGCCAGGGCCAAGGAGCACAGAAGGAGCCGTGTTCCTACAGGGAGGCTGTGCGGATGCGACACGGGCTGGGACTCCCTGCCCTGCTGGGACACCTGCTTCAGCTCCCTGCGGCAGTGTAGTCCCTGCCTGGGTGAGGGAGGCCCCCACGGCCACCTTGCACGTCCGCTTTACTCCCCACGCAGAGCAGGATCTCATGCAACTGGGGTCAGGAGGCGAGCCAGGTATGTGTGCACGTCTCAACTCTGAAGGAGACGGGAACATTCACTGTGGGATATAGCCACCGTGGGTCTCTCACAGGGTGTCTGTGTGGGCTGTTGTCAGGAGGATTTTTTTTTAAAGATATATTTTTATTTTTATTGGAAAGTCAGATATACAGAGAGGTGGAGAGACAAAGGGGAAGATCGTCCCCTCTACTGATTCACTCCTTAGGTGGCTGCAATGGCTGGAGCTGAGATGATCCAAAGCCAGGAGCCAGGAGCTTCTTCCAGGTCTCCCATGTGGATGCAGGGTGCCAAGACCTGGGATCATCCTCTACTGCCTTCCCAGGCTGCAAGCAGGGAGCTGGATAGGAAGTGGAATAGCTAGGATATGAACTGACACCCATCTGGGATCCCGGCACATGCAAGGTGGGGATTTAGCTGCTGGGCCACTGCGCCAGGACAAAGGTGACTGGTTTTTCAGAGATTGGGAGCTGCCATCCATTGGTTCATTTGCCCAAATGAATGTGATGGCCATTGTCAAAACCAGGAGCTGGGAATTTGGCCCAGCTTGGGTGGCAGGGACTTGGTGACTTGAGCTAGCACCCACTGTCTCCCAGGGTTTTTATTGTTAGGAGGCCAGCATCAGAAGCGTGAGCCTGGTACCTAACTCAGGTGCTCTGCTGTGGGATGCAGGTGTCTTAGCTGTGAGGCCACACACGCGCCCCAGTGCATTAAGAAACATGCAAGTATAAAATGATACTTGGGCAACACCATCCTATGACAACTGTAATTTGGAAAACTTGACAACTGGTCAGAATTGTCATTCTCAGGTCCCTGCTATAGCGCTTGCTGCATTAGTTTACTGCCTTCTGAGGCCCCAATGTTCCTGCTGTGGTAGTTCGGTGTTTCCAGAGAAATACCAGCCTGAAGCTGGGTTGTTGTGTGTAGTCTATGTTGATAAGCTTTCTCCTGTGTTTTGCCATCAAACCACGAAGATGTTGTCTTTTACTCTAGCAGTCAGGTAGCTGAGCGCTTAGCCTGTGGCAGAGATGACTCCAGGACTCGCTTCCCCAGTAGAAGGGGAAGTTCTACTCTGGGAAGGACCTGCCCAACAAAGCTCCTGCCCCTGACACTGCGTGTCCCTGCAGAGGAGGGGCTGCAGGGCTGTTCCCTGGAGCCTGTTTGCTCTCACACACAACTCCAGCCCAGTGTTTGCTGGTCTCCAAAGCCCACAGCAGATCCCAAGAGGCAACTGAGAGTGAAGCAAGGGGTAGCTAAGTGGTAGGTAAAGAAATGCCCAGTAGCAGCTGGTGCTGTGGCACAGTGTTTTAAGCTGTTGCCTAGAGTATTAACATCCCATATGGTTGCTGGTTCGAATCCTGGCTGCTCCCCTTCTGATTCAGCCTCCTACTAATGCACCTGAGAAAGCTGCCCCAGATGGCCCAAGTGCTTGGGCCTCTGCACCCATGTGAAGACCCAGGTGGAATTCCTAACTCCTAGCTCTGCCTGGCCCAATCCTGGCTGTGGTGGCCATTCGGAGAGTGTACCAGCACATGGAAGATCTCTCTCTCTCTCTTCCTCTCCCTGTGTCTAACTCAGCCTTCCACACAGAGCAAATGAGTCATAGAAAGAGGAGACTTCATTCGTCCATTCTGCAAGCGGCCCCTGAGCTTTACTGGTTGCAGGTGGCATTCTGAGCCCTTGGGATGCTTCACGGAGCAAAACAGAGTAGTAGATCCCCACCATCGTGAGCTCCCACTCTGATGGGGCAGAGAGGGACTGGCTGAAAGCTGACAAGTAAGAAAATGGACGATCCTTGTAGAAGCACTTACTGTTGTGTTGGAAGGTTTTAAATCCCTGGGAAAAAAGAGGAAAGGAGGGTAGAGCCGAGTTGTGATTTTACATCCATGGCTAGAGCAGGAGTCACTGAGAAGACCTGAGATCAAAGATCAAGCAAGTGAGACTGGCCCAGCCAGCTGAGGGGCAGGACACACTTGCTCACTGACAGCCAGGTCATAGCAGCCCCAAGGCAGAGGGGTGTGGAGGGTCAGGTGGACCGAGTGGAGGGACTTGGAGAGGGTGGACAAAGTCCTGGAGCTGAGGGCAGAGGCTATAGGGAGAGCATGAAGCCACACAAAATAAGAATTACAGATATTTTAGGGGCAAAGACAGAGTGCTGATTCATGTGGCTGCCCAAGTGCCTGCCATGGTCAGAATTAGGGAGAAATCAGGAGCTGGGACCACAGTGTATCTCCCATGTGGGTAGCAAGGACCCAAGCCTTGAGCTTCTGATTTCAGAGTTGGTCTCCCTGTGTTGTGAGTTTTGTTTGTGATGGTCTTTACATCACCATGTGCAGCTGATAGGAGGAAGCAAGCTGCCTGTGGAAAGCATGGCATCAGGACACCGGGATGCTGCCTGGGCTGCCCTTGCTCTGTGCTTGCCTCTGCTACCCACCTGGAACATTTGTGTGTCAAACCACAGTGCAATGTGTCTGAGGTATTTCAGATACTGATTTAGAAATGGTGGAAACATGCAGTGAAGCAATCAATGCCATTATACAGCAGGGCTTGATGGAGAACAAACAGTGGGACTCAGACTAGTACAGAACTAGAAGTGGGGGCTTGGTGCAATGGCTCAATTGGTTAATCCTGCCCTTTCAAGCCCTGAGATCCCATATGGGGCTAGTTTCATGTCCCAGCTGCCCACTTCCCATCCAGCTCCCTGCTTGTGGCTTGGGAAAGCAGTTAAGGATGACCCAAAGCTTTGGGACCCTGCACCTATGTGGGAGACCCAGAAGAAGCTCCTGGCTTTGGATTAGCTCAGCTCTGGCCTTTGTGGGCACTTGCACCAGGAGATGGAAAGTCTGTCTCTCTTTCTCCTCGTGAATCTGCCTGTCCGATAAAAATAAAAGCATATTGACTTCAGGATGCTCAGAGCTGAGAAGAACCAGAAGACGTTGAGATGGGAGGGAATTGATGCCATGGCAGTCTGGGCAGGTGCTGTGTACACACAAGACAGTTTTTGACTTAGGGTGAGGATGGCATGGCATTTGGCCAAAAAATGACATTACAGTTACTTTAAAAAAAAAAACAAAACTTTTTTTTTGTTTGTTTTGTTTTAATCTCAGAGTGAGGAGCGAGCCTCCATCTGCTGGTTCCCTCTCCAAATGACTGCAATGGCCAGGACTGGGCCTGGCCAAAGCCTGGAGCATCTTCCGTTTTTCCCAAGGTCACAGTTACTTTGAAAATGTAACTGGTTCATACTGCCGTTTGGTACAGACTGTCATTTTCAAAATTACACCAGACTAGGAGTGGTGTAAGCCTGGGCAATTTTTCTTGAAATGCACCCCTGGATGGAGCACCAGGGCTGTCTGCCCAGGGAGGATACCTGGCATGCCCAGCGTGTCTGCTTCCCTCAGTCGGGTGGCCTTCTTGTGACCATGCAGCTGTGACACCAGTTCTCTGTTGGGCTGTCCTTCGCCTGCATCCAGCATTGTGGGTTGTGTGGGTTTAGTTCCTTTTCATAAGGCTCTTTGAGAATGCTGGTCTGGCACACAGTTCCTTGTCTTTGTTCAGAGATGGAAATGAAAGGTCCATGTTGGGTATAGAACAATGACATTTGGGTTAGCAGAAAATGAAAGCTGTTTTCTCATAAGCTAGGAGACTAAGGGAAATACTATTGTAGAATAAACCCCTGGGGACACATGACTTCACTCGACTCACCTGGATTCCCTGTGGACCGCAATGAAATGTAGTCAGGCCTGCATTGTCTTCAGTGTTGGGTTGTGTTCTTGGCGTTGCAGGTGTCGGCCAGGCGTCATTTAAGTACTTCCGGTCAGCGAAGGAAGCCAAGTGCGCCATCGAGGCCGTGCTGGCTGCTGATCCCCGGTCTGTGTACCGCCGCCAGCTCTGCCAGGACCGTCTTTTCTTCTTCACCGTGGATGTGGCACATGTCACCTGCTGGTTTGGCGAGGACTTTGTGGAGGTCCTGAGGGTCAAGCTGGCTGCTGGGCCTGTTCCCTTGGTTGGGGATACCTCAGTGGCCCTGCCATCGGCCTCTGTCTCATCCTGAAGGCAACTTTGTTGACATTAGGAAGTGGCTGCCGGATTTTCTGTTCAGCCATCTGCTTTGATGGGGATATTCAAAATGCTATTTAAAAAATAATAATAATAAACTTCATTGAGAGGTATAAAATGCAGAAAAATGGTTCTTCCCGTTCTTTAAAAAAAAGTTATTATTTGAGAGAAGGATTGAGAGAAAGAGGCAGAGTACCTAAATGCTTGGCTCACTTCCCATGTGCCAACCATGGCCTAGGCAGGGCTGAGCTGAGCTGAAGCCAGAAGCCTGCAACTGTGTCCAGGTCTTCCTCGTGGGTGGCAGGGATCCAGCAACTTGAACCATCCCCACTGTCTCCCAGGATGGGCCTCAGCAGGAAACTGGAGCCTGGTACCTGGATGAACAGTGAGGCATGGTGCCCTCTGCCTTGGGTGTGTTCACAGAGAACCCCAAGGTGGCACTCTCACCATGGTTTCTGCAAGAAGTGGCTCTCTGCTGGTTAGGCAGAGATTATTCTCCTGGGGACTTTGTATTTGAGGGGATCTGTTCGGCCGTTCACACTGGTTTTCTGCCTGGAACAGCCGGCTCTCCATTTTACTCTAAATCAAGCTGAGTTACAGTCTCAGGGAGCCAGTAAATCTAAACCAAGTGTTTACATATACTTTCAGGCTCTGTGGCTCGTACGCATATATGTATCCTGATTCTAAAATAGAGGTTTTCTGAAGGCCTTTGTGCAAGAAAGAAAATCTTTGCCTAAAGTTCAAGAAAATAGTGAGCTATCTTTTTGTTAGTGTCGAGAGCTCACCATAGGTGGTTAGGTTGTGGTGATCCAGTGAGACAAAGAGGATTGCAGTTAGCAGAGGAAGGCAAGATACAAGCAGATTATCGCATTGCACTCTGATCAACACAATAATTAATTTGGTTCTGGTTGCTGTGCTGAGCCATGTAGGAACCAGGTGTAAGAATGTATTGCCTATAGGAGATTTTAATGAGGCGATCTCAGATAACTGAAGATTTATGATTGGCGTAACCAAATGAGACACCTGTCGGCATGACACACGCTTTCCTAATCACAGTTGTAAATCTCAGCAGCTGATTGATGAGGTTTTGAAACGAGCCCTGTGACCTGTAAGTACTTGTGTGGAGTCATTTGTGGCCTAGGACACAGCGCTGTTGGAACAAACTGGCTTGTCATGGTCTTTGATGTTACTTAGAACTTCTTGAAGTAACTTTTAGTTGGATTTTTTAAAAGCCTTTTATTTGGAAGTAATTAGAGATTGCAGGAAGTTACGTAAGTAATCCAGAGATTCCTTGTACTTTTGACAAAACTTCTAAAAGTAATCATCTTACATGACTCTTGTGTAACACTAAAGCTGGGGGTAGCTGCTGGCGTGTGGTGGGTTAAGCCAGTGCTTGTGACACGGACAACCCATGTTGGAGTGTCAGGTGGAGTCCTGGCTACTCTGCTTCCCATCCAGCTCCTTGCCGGTGCACCTGGGAAGCAACAAGTGTGTGGGCCCTGCCACCCATGTGGGAGACCAGGATGGAGTTCTAGGTTTCTGGCCTGGTCCTGGCTCAGCCCTGGCTCTTGTGGCCATTTGGAGAATGAACCAGTGGATTGAAGATTAATGTCTACCTCTCTATTTTTTCTCTCCCTCTCTCTGTCACGCTTTCAAATAATAAATAAAGCTTTAAAAATATAAAGCTGGGAAGTTAGTATATTTTATCCTTCAGTATGATTTTTGGTGTCTTTAATCATAAAAAAAATCTTTGAAATTGAGTCAGGACTTGAAGCATCAAAATGTTGATGTTTCCCATTGGATGATAAACTCAGCCTTTTTTCTTTTTCTTTCTTTCTTTTTTAAGATCTATTTTATGGGCCTGGCACAATGGCTTAGTGACTAAATCTTTGCCTTGCACACACCTGGAGCCCATATGGGCACTGGTTCGTGTTCTAGTGACTCTACTTCCCATCTAGCTCCCTGCCTGTGGCCTGGGAAAGCAGCTGAGGACAGCCCAAAGCCTTGGGACCCTGCACCCATGTGGGAGACCCGGAAGAAGCTTCTGGTTTCTGGCCCGTGGCTCCGGCTGTTGCAGCCACTTCGGGAGTGAACCAGTGGATGAAAAATCCTTCTGTATCTCCTTTTCTTTATAAAGCTGCTTTTCTAATAAAAATCTTTTAAAAAATTTAAAGATCTTTAAAAAGATTTTTATTAGAAAAGCAGAGTTAGAGAGAGAGAGAGGAGAGACAGAAGGAGGAGAGCACCACCGCCGCCCAGCAGTGGCGACACTAAAAACGATGAGGTACGCTCTTGAGGGTCCGGGAAAAGCTGGGCCCCTCACTGCCAAAAGCGGCTGCGTTTAAATCCTTATTTCCACTGCTCCTGTCTCCATTGGTCTAAGCTTTCCTCTGCCGCTTCTGTAGCCCTAATTCCATCACCATTCCTCCCATTCTTCCCGTACTTTCCCTGTCTCCTTTCCGCCACCCTTCTTCCTGCCCCCCTAGTCCTTCTCGTCTATTTGTCTGTCCGCCCATCATTGTCGTTATCCATCCTAGTCCTCTGCCTAGCTTTTACCGGCTACTTTTATATCGTTCTCCACCAATCACTTCTCCTCATGGGTCCACTTGGCGCTATCTGATAGGCCAGCAATCCCAGCGGGGGCATTAGCCTATCCCTGTGACTTCCTGTTTACCTGCTGGCAAGACCAGCTCCGCGTCCTGTCCCTGGGCCAGCTGCCATCTTGCAACAGCCCCTTCCAAACCCAGGAGCAGCTTTCCTATTCTGGGTACCGGCTTCAGCACCCTGCTCCCCACAGGAGAGAGAGAATGCTGGTTTACTCCCTAAATAACCACAGTGACCAGAGCTAAGCTGATCTGAAACCAGGAGCCAGAAAGCTTCCACGTCTCCCATATGGCTGAAGGATTCCAAGGCTTTGGACCATGCTGTGCTGTTTTCCCAGGCCACAATTAGGAAGCTGGATTAGAAGTGGAGCCGCTGGGACATGTACCCTTCTGGGATGCTGGTGCCATATGTGGAGGATTAGCCTGCTATACCACAGCACTGGTCTTACCAACCAGCCTTTAAATAAGAGGATTATTATGGTGTTTGGGCTTTGTTATACCCCCTCATGCTGAAGATTTAAGAAATTTAAAGGAGGTGGATTTTCTTCTCATTTTGACTCTTGCTTGAAAACATAATGAAGGGCCCGGTGGCATGGCCTAGTGGCTTAAGTCCTCGCCTTGAATGCGCCAGGATCCCATATGGGCACTGGTTCTATCCTGGCAGCCCTGCTTCCCATCCAGCTCCCTGCTTGTGGCCTGGGAAAGCAGTTGAGAATGGCCCAGAGCTTTGGGACCCTGCACCTGCGTGGGATGCCCAGAAGAGGTTCCTGGTTCCTGGCTTCGGATCGGCGCAGCACTGGCCATTGCGCTCACTTGGAGAGTGAATCGCCGGACGGAAGATCTTTCTCTCTGTCTCTCCTCTTCTCTGTGTATCTGACTTTGTAATAAAAATAAGTAAATAAATCTTTTAAAAAAGAAAACATAATGAAACAAGCATTCACACACGGAAAAACATAAGCACAATCCATGAAGGAAGGAAATAATAGCAAGTTAAATTAGCAGGATGTTTAGGAATGGGAGGATAGGAAAAAGAACACAAAAGTAATTTTGACAGCCAGCTTGCTACTTCGTTTTCCTCAAATAACGTTAGTCTTCTGTTTGAGACTCAGGCAGTCTTAGTAGAAACTCAATGAAAACTGCTTAGTGATTCCTCCGTGAAATTCTAGTACAGGGCTAAGATATTTTGAACATAAGCCTGTTTGCCAGGCTTCTCCAGAAAGTCATTTAACAACTCACTTAATTTCTTTTTAAAAAGATGTTCTGGGCACAGCGGCGTGGCCTAACGGCTAAAATCCTTGCCTTGAATGCCCTGGGATCCCATATGGGCGCTGGTTCTAATCCCGGCAGCTCTACTTCCCATCCAGCTCCCTGCTTGTGGCCTGGGAAAGCAGTGGAGGACGGCCCAATGCCTTGGGACCTTGCACCCATGTTGAGAGACCTGAAGGAAATTCCTGGCTTTGTGCTCACTTGGGGAGTGATTCATTGGACGGAAGATCTTCCTCTCTGTCTCTCCTCCTCTCTGTATAAAAATAAATTTGTAATAAAAGTAAATAATAAATCTTTTTTAAAAGTTCTATCTTCGTTCTGATATGGGTACAGTGGCCTGAGGCCTTGGAGCATCCTCCGCTGCTTTCCTAGGCAGTAGCAAGAAGCTGGATTGCAAGTGGAGTAGCCAGGACACAAGCCTGCACCCACCCAGGTGATTAACCAACCACACCATTGCGCCGGCTCCCTCTGGTTTCCCAGCTTCCTTGTCTGGGAAAGAAAACAAAAGTCTGAAACCAGTGCATTTCTGCTTGTCTATGAAACTTCTGTAGAAGAAGGGGAAATGTTTCCCCCAGACATAACACTTGCCTGTTTTTCAGCCTTTGCCTGCAGGGGGAGCTTTTGCTGGCAGTATGCCCTCTGACTTGGAGGTAAATTCTGGGAAGTACAGCTTATTGTGGCTTTTGCATACCTGATGTAGCTTCCAGGAGCAGTAACTTGTCCAAAAAATGCTGGTGTGTGTCATATGGGAAGAGATTAGAAGGATAAATGGTATTCATTACATTTTTCTTGCACTATATCCTTTTTCAGAAGTGGGGTAGATTATTCCAGCACTTGGAGCAGTACACAGCTACATACGTACATACAGAGCATGGATCGGAATTGAAGCAATTGGGAATTGGTGAGGGCTGTGCCAGGCTGAAGCCAGGAGCCAAGAGCTTCCTCTAGGCCTCTCACATGGGTGTCAGGGTCCCACAGGCTTGGCTCACTTCCACTTCATTCTCAGGCACATTAGCAGGGAGCTAGAAGCTAGAGTGGAAGTGGAGCAGTCAGGACTTGAACTGGTGCTCATATGGGTACAGGCATCACAAGTATCAGCTTGACTTGCTATGCCACATCCGCCACAAAATGAAATAAATAAACACATCGATAGCACTTGCCAAATAAGTTGTCTTAACTCTGAACCCTTAATTTAAAAAAAAAAGTTTTACTCTTAATTTTCTTTGTGGGAAGGTGTTTGTTGTGTTTGTTAAGTAAATCAGTTTGATTTCTTTTTTTTAAATTATTTTTAATGATTTTTACATAGTTGACTAGGGTACGAAGAGTCAAGGGCTACAGGAAAGTGGGTGTGGCCATTGTTTCCACCTTCTCTTTTTTCCTTTCTGTAACTGGGGAAGAGGGGTGCTAAGGAGAGAAGCTACACCCAACCTCCCAACCATCCCAGGGTCCCCCAATGTGGGATGTGCTCCAAGGCCCTGTTGTTATATTTAAAATCTTAGATGACGGACCCGCTGGGATCCCATATGGGAGCCCATTCTAACCCCCAGCAGCTCCACTTCCCATCCAGCTCCCTGCTTGTGGCCTGGGAAAGCGGTCGAGGATGTCCCAAAGCCTTGGGACCCTGCATCTGTGTGGGAGACCCAGAAAGAAGTTCCCGGTTCTGGCTTTAGATCAGCACAGCACCAGCCGTTGCAGCCACTTGGGGAGTGAATCATCAGATGGAAGATTTTCCTCTCTGATCTCTCCTCCTCTCTGTACATCTGCCTTTCCAATAAAATAAATAAATCTTTTTTTTTAAAAAAAAATCTTAGATGACTAACTCTATGAATGACATTATCAAAGAACGCTCAGTCTAGCAGAAATGACTTCAGCCTTTTGATGTTATGTACGTACTTGTTAAATCATTCAACGTTGTTTGTGTGATTTGTTCATCTGTTTCCATTTTGAAAACATGAAAGTTAAAAGCTGACATCAGGGGTAGGAGTTTGTCACAGCAGTTAAGGTGCCTCCATTCCTGAAGTGCTTGGGTTCAAGTCCCCATCCCGCTTCCAGATTAGCTTCCTTGCTAATACTTCCACCTTTGGGTCTGTCGCCTGTTTGGGAGACCTGGATGGAGTCCAGGCTCTCTCTCGCTCTCTCTCTCTGTCTCTTTCCATCTTTCAAATAAATAAGTAAATAAAACTTAAAAGAAAAAAAACTGACTTTGAGGGAACACTATTTTCTATGTACTGCTTAGAAACCATTCTGGCATCCTGTGGTTATTAATCAAGAGAATCATTTGTTTAGTGGCTTGAGGTTAAGGGCTTGAAAAGTCCTATGAATTGCAGCATTGTAAGAATCAAAAAGAAACCTTGACTATTACTATCTATTCTATCTAATTGAATACAATAATGTATGAAATTATAAGCAGTTTTAAACAGGTTTTGGGAACAGTTATGGCGACTTATAAAATCAACATAGGTAATTTAGAAAGTTTAAATCATGAGAAATTTCATTCTGACATTACATGCCAAAATTTGTGCTGACATTTTTATAGGGTAAGCTAATTCTTTTTTACAGAATTTAATTATTCATGAATTAGAGAGAGCCAGCTCCCAACTATTGCTTCACTGTTGCCACAGCAGGGATGGGAGGCCAGGAGCTGGGAGCTCCATGCAGGATGGAGAGCAGAGCTCTGGCTGTTGGAACCTCTATCCTCTAGGGGCTGTCGTAGCAGGAAGCTGGAGCTGGGAGCTGGAGCTGGGGACAGAGCCCAAGCCCTCAGGTGTGGGCAATGGCTTTTCCAGCCAGCATCTTGCTTGCTGGTTGAATGCCTGCCCCTGATATGGGATTCCAGGAGAGGGGGGTCTAAAACCATCCAAGCCTGCTGAAATCTTGGCCATACCTTCAGGTGGGTGGCAGAAACATTGCCCACCCATTTGCTAACTGGTGAAGAGACCACCAAGGGGGAACCTTTTACCGTAGGTTCCCACCCAATCAGGGAGGGGTCAGGAATGCTTCAAATCCCAAGACCCTTTCAGAAACCTTTGGTGTCTCTCCCTCTCTCCTTTTGAGAGGTACCCCACATCCCAGCTCTCTCTCAGGAAGTGCTTTCCCCTTCCCCCTTCTTTCCATGCTCACCTGGTCACTTTGCAAATAAACTCTGCAAAATAAGTAAAAATTAAATTAATTCTTAAGGTTTATGAATCAAACTGAAAACTTCTCTATATGTTAAAAATGAAAGCACCTCCTCCTTTTTCTTGTGTTACAAGAAAAAAAAAAAAAGACTATTACCTAAATGTGCTTCTCAGTGTCTATGTAAAATACAGTAATTTTCTTCCAGGTGTTCTTGATTGGACAGCTGAACTTGATACTCCTAGAGTGTGCATGAAATGACTGATTTCTGATCAGTTCATCTTTATGAGAAGAAGAGGAAGAGGAGATAGCAAACGCCAAGTGAGAGGGAGGCAGCCGTAGATTGCAGGTCACTGACCAGGAGGTGACCGCAGTGCTGGCTGGCTGATTGGCTGTGCTCCTTCCTCCTAGAGAGCTGAGTCCCACCGAGCCTGCTGTGGAAAACCCACGACAGATGGAGGGCAGCACCTGGAGCTTGGCAGTCCTAACAGGCCTTACAATTCTTTGGCTTGCAGAAAGGAGAATGGCGCCTCCTCTGTGAAATGAAGTGCCAGACTTAGACGGGCAGTGGGCACTGCTTTTTGCATTGTTCATTGCCTGGAGGTTTGTCGCTGCTTCATCCAGGGCCTGCGACCTGGCAGGGATAGAGTAACAGGAGAAAGCACAGAGGGAAGGGGTCTCACTTATGTGCCCAGGACAAAGGGTGCGGCATGGATTGTGCTGAGCCATGGTGGCTCCAACCACAGCATCTGTTTGAGCACTGTAACAGATATGAGAGTTAGCTTGAAGAATTGCAGGTGGCTGCCTCTGGAGAACAGGATCAGGAAATAAAGCAGAGCAGGCTGGGAAACATGAGGGAGTGTTAAAAGGAGCCTTTTAAAAAACTATTGGGGGCCCTGCTGGGGTGAGGCAGCCCGCAGGTAGAGTCGAAGGGTCCTCGTGGACTTTTGAGAGTCTCCTTGTCCCCCTAAGATCCAGTATCCAGGAAGGATTCTGCTTTTGGCCCCAATCAGCCGGGGTGGGCCAAGGCTATGGAGACGTTCCAGGCCCTGAGCACACTCTGAGTTGTATCCTAACAGCAGCTAAGTTTCTTGCGACCCTGCAGGAGGTGATGTGGGAGGTCCTGCATGGGAACCCGCACAAATGCCACAATTTTTGGAGATGGTGGAGCTGCAGATCAGCCTGAAGAACTATGACCCTCAGAAGGACAAGCATTTCTTGAGCACCATCAGGCTCAAGTCCACCCTACACGCCAAATTTTCTGTGTGCGTCCTGGATGACCCGCAGCACTGCAGTAAGGCCAAGGCTGTGGACATCCACCAAATGGACACTGAGACACTCAAGAAGCTCAACAAGAACAGGAAGCTCGTCAAGAAGCTGGCCAAGTACGATGCCTTCCTGGCCTTGGAGTCCCTGATCAGGCAGATACCCCGAATCCTGTGCCTGGGCCTCAACAAGGCCTGCTGACACACAGTGAGAACATGGTGGCCATTCGACAAGGTCAAGTCCACCATCAAGTTCCAGATGAAGAAGGTGATGTGTCTGGCCATGGCGGTTGGCCCTGTGAGGATGACAGGTGACAAGCTTGTGTGTAACATCCACCTGGCTGTCAGCTTCCTGGTGTCATTACTTAAGAACTGGCAGAATGTGCAGGTCTTGTACATCAGGAGCACAGTGGGCAAGCCTCAGCTCTGTTAGAGCTGTCCAGTAAACCCTGTGCCCATCTCTGGGGAATAAAAAAAGACTATTGGGAAACTGGTGTGGTGGCATAGTATGTAAATCCTGCAGTGCCTTGCTGGCATTGCATATGGGTGCTGCTGGTTCATGTCCTGGCTGTTCCACTTCCCATCTAGTTCCCTGCGTCTGCTCTGGAACAGTGGTAGAGGACAGCCCAAAATCTTCGGACGCTGCACCCAAGTGGGAGACCTGGAAGAAGTTCCTGATTCTTGGCTTTGGATTGGCTCTACTCTGGCTCCTTTGGCCATTTGGGGGAGTGAACCAGCAAGTAGCAGATCTCTGTCTCTCCTCTGTAAAAACATGCCTTTTAAATAAAAATCTATCTTGGGTCCAGCATGGTGGCCTAGCGGCTGAAGTCCTCCCTTTGAACACACTGAGAACCCATATCAGCACCAGTTAAGGATGGCCCAAAGCCTTAGGACCCTGCACCCTTATGGGAGACCTGGAGGAAATTCCTGTCTCCTAGCTTCGGATTGGCTCAGCACTGGCTAGTGTGGTCTCTTGGGGAGTGAATCATCAGATGAAAGATCTTCCTCCTCTCTGTATATCTGACTTTGCAATAAAAATAAATAAGTCTTAAAAACATATAAGGAGCCTTTAAAATTAAAAAAATCTAAAAGACTATATATTTATGAAATTTCACAAACTTATGAAATGTGTGGAAGGCAGAGGAGAGAGAGAGCTTCCCTCTGCCAGTTCATTCCCCACGTGGCCATGAAAACCAGGCATGAGGTAGAAGCCAGGAACCATGAATGCATCTGGGTTTTGCAAGTGGCTGTCAGAAACCCAAGTACTTGGGCCTTCTGCTACTTTGCCAGGTGTGTTAGCAGGGAGATGGACCAATGCTACCATACAGCTTAACTTGCTGTGCCACAGCACTAGCTCCAAAAGGGGGCTTTTAAAACTCTTGTTTATATAAATACTACTTGGCAAAACAAAAACCCTGCCAAACTAATTTATAAAAGTAAAGCAAATCACACACGTAGAAAATGTTTAGCCATGTTTCCCTCTTGCATTCCTGTCTTCCTTCTCAGAGACCCACTCAGGGCAGGGACGGAGGTGGAAGGGGAGACTGCAGGTAGGAAAGAGGTTGCTGAGCCTGAGGCTATTCTGCCAGCTTTGCCTGCTATGGACTAGCTCTCCAAAAGCCGCTCGGCCCTCCCACGCGTCCAGCGCGGTGGGTCGGTGCTGCAGCACGCACAGCCCTGGGCCTGGAAGCCGGGCCCAACGCCAGCCTTTGCCCTCACCTCCCGACGTGGCTAGGGAGCGCGTATACCCGCGCGCGTGAACGAATTCCCACCCCTGCGGTGTGCAAATAGCAGTGAAATCACCGCCGCCTCCGGTGCCCAGCAAGGCGCCGGCACGCCCAAGCCCAGCGAGAAGATGCTGGTGGGCGCGGGACCGGAATCTTCCAGTACACAGAGTTCTTGCGTTTTGCCACATCAGGGTGTCACTGCCACCGGAGCACGACTTTAGCTTTTCTGCTGGCTTCCAACATCGTCAAGGGGCCTCGGGAAAGCCGAGGTCCTCTCATGGCCTGGCCGGCTCTGGGTTGGTTTGGGTGGCCGTGGGAAGTCTAAGTTCCCGCAATCTTGCGGAGGCGGGGAGAAGGACTCCAACCCCTAATGGCCCGTGGTGAAGCTGGTGCCCGCCATCCCCATGTTTGCCGCTGGAGGTACGCAGTGGAGGAGAGTTTCGCAAGACGGGCTCTGCGGAGAGTGATGCAAATGCACTGAAGCTGAGGAAGACTGGGGCCCGCGGAGGCTGCTGTGGCGGCTGCTGCGAGGCCCTGACTCACGCTTGGCGGCCTCTGCCAGCAGCGTGGACAGAAGCGATGTCATCTGCTCGCCCTCCTGCCTCCACTCTTCCCCAGAGGCAGCGTCTGCTCTTGGTCTTGTTTTCTCGTTCCTTCCACCAAACCCCCTGGGAAAGCTCCACTGCACCCTCTGGCTTTCAGCCTCATGAGAACTCAGTTTTGTGTCTCCAGCCTTGCCTGCCACCCCCAAGCACTATAGCCCTGTAGCCAGCAGGCTGATGTGTGTCTCCAGTGCGTTAAAGTTTGGAGCATAGTGCACCCCAATCGCGAAGCTTTCTTCTGCCTTCTGCATTGCATACCCTCCTGCCAACCTGCCACCCTGTCCAGAAACCTGCCCTCCTCCATCTCCCTCTTCAGTCCATTGCCACCCTGTGTACAAGTTTGCATGTTTTCTGCTCATCGTTTTTTCATGTTTTGACAATCCTGGCCCTGTTCCTCTGGCATGTATGTTTGTTTGTCTCTTTCTTTAAGATTTATTTATTTATATTGCATAGTCAGATATATAGAGAGGATGAGAAACAGAGAGGAAGATCTTTCATCCCATGATTCACTCCCCAAGTGACCTCAGCAGCTGGAGCTGAGCCGATCTGAAGCCAGGAGCTTCTGGGTCTCCCACGTGGATGCAGGGTCCCAAAGCTTTGGGCCATCCTTGACTGCTTTCCCAGACCACAGTCAGGGTGCTGGATGGGAAGCAAGGCTGCCGGGATTAGAACTAGCTCCCATATGGGATCTCGGTGTGTTTAAGGCAAGGACTTCAGCTGCTACGCTAGGCTACTGCACTGGGACCAGCCTGTTTCTTGAATGTCTGTGCCTGGTCCTTTATCTTAGCCTCACTCTTCTCCCACCCTCCACGGCCCAACCCACCGCCAGAATGAGTGTTTGTCAGCACGGGGGCACTTCCCCTACAAGCAAACAAATACAAAACACTGACGGGCAACACTGGATGTCAGCAGCGATGCAGAGCAAGCAGGCCCCTGGCACACAGCTGGCATAAATGAGTAAATCAGATTTGGAGAGTGAACAGTCTCCCGAGCTACCCATTCACATATCCTACATGTCCATGCCTGAGCCAGCCGCCCCCTTCCTGCATGTCCATCGAACCCATGTCGATGTCCCTCAGCCTCTGCAGGGGCCTGGCTCCAAGACGACTCATGCCCACCCAGATCCGCTGATGCTCAAGTCCCTTATGTGAAAAGGCACCGTGTCTGCACAGAACCATCCGAAATCATCCCTGTATTCCCTGCCTCTCCTGTGAATGTGATGTAGACAGTCATGACACTGGATGTCACAGGACGAAAAAGAAGTCTGCATATTTGGTCCCTTCTACCTGCCCCTGATGTTATCAACATTATTTGGTTGGATGCGCAGATGCAGAGCCTGCGGGCCTGAGTGCTGTGCCGAGTGCACTCATCCCTTCCTGCCAGGGTGCAATGGCAGGCAAGTGCTGGACACTTTGCAGCTTCAGTGTGGAAGCTGCCCCTTCTGCGTATCCACATGGTGGTACAGCCCTGTGCTGGCATATGACTCAGCACGGAGAAAGAGCAAACCACTTATAGGTTCCTTCCCCTCCCGGGGGAGCCCTGCAAACAACATGCGGAGTAAAGGAACCACACATGATGCTATAGGAAAAGCCACGGTAGGTTTCTGGGGTTTTAGTACCAATTTCTTTATTTTGTAAAGAAAGTACCAATTGTTTTATTTTGTAAAGATGGATTTATTTTTATTTGATAGGCAGAGTTACAGAGAAACAGGGAGAAACAGAGAAAGTTATCTGTTGGTTCACTCCAGATGACCATAATTGCATGGGCTGGGCCAAGTTGAAGCTAGACACCAGGAACTGGATCAGAAGTGGAGCAGCTGAGACACGAGCCAGCGCTCATGTGGGATGCTGGCACTGTAGGTGAGGATTTACTAGCTTTGCCACAACACTGGCCTCAATGATTTTGTTCTAGGTGCTGAGTATGCAGGTTTAGCTTATTTGTGGATCAATTTTGCACTTTTTCTCTATATGTATCAGCCTTTCATAGCACACATACACACCCAAATGAAATCTCCAAGGTTCTTCACACCCAGAGAGAAAGTTCTAAAACCTAGCAGAACAGGTAAGGCTGTCCATGATGTGCCCCAGGACACCGTCCCAGCTGCAGGCCTGTGGCTATCACCAGCCAGGCCACCGTGCAAGGGCACACTTATGTTTTCATGCCTTGATGTCCCGTCAGCTGCCCCTTCAGCCCACAGTCTCTCTTTCTTTCCATCAGGCTTCTCCCTGAAGATGACGCCTCCTCTATGAGGTCCTTCCTAATTTCTCCGAGCAAACAAGTCTCTCCCCAAGCTGATCTTCCTTCCTCGCAAGCCTGGAGCTCTCTCTCATCTTGCATGGGTTCTTTTGGCTTAAAGGAGGTGGTAGGGATGGTGTCTGTGAAACTTCCTGGGGCCAGTGTTGTGCCTGGCATGGCACTTGTGTGAACGAATGGCTGACACATGGTTGAATCTGTGCCCCGAGTTAAGCCGCAGTCCCTATTGGCTTCTGCCAGGAGCCAAGTCCCTTTGGAAATAAACACATCCCATAGCCCTGGATTGGCTGCTGACAGCCATGGAGGTGGGTGTGTGTCTGCAGTTTTGTGGGCGTGTCCAATTAGGCTCCCAGGAGGGAGGCCCAGCAGCCCCACTAACATGAATAAGCCGGGCAAGTATGTGGTTAATGACCATGTCGCTCCGTGTCAATCCTTAATCCCAGATAATTAGCAGATAGATAATTGGCAGAGGAACGCGAGGTGCTGACGGATGTGCCGTATACTTGGGTGAAACTAATGATCCTCGGTGGATTAAGACCCGCCCTCTCCGAGTGTTGACGGCTGCTACTTGAAATGCTCCTACGGAAAGAGGCCTGCATCCAAGACGAGGTGTCAAGGACTTGAGAACAGGGCGTGGGCATCAGGACTAATTCCTCGGGCTGCTTCCGTGAGAGGTGGGTGGGGGAGCCTCAGAACTGCCAACCCAGAGCAGGCAGGCCCCAAGCTCATGCTTCTCCTGACTTGCTGGGGTTCCCTGAGCACACCCCTCCTTACTCTGTCCCTTCTGCTGCAGGAAGGCTGGGAGGGCTGGGTGGATCCTGGGACCCTGGACAAAAGTCTGCTTCCCAGTGATTCCTTTGGGACTGGATCATTCACTGCCCCTGACACAACTTGAGCAGCTTCCCTGG